TAGTCGGAAGCCAAGATAATCTATGAAGTGTATAAGAAATTTTATTCAAAAAGGATTGTAAATAGATCGGTTAAGGCAACAATATGCGGTTGTAATTTTTTTTACAGCACAGATGTTCAAGTGTAGCAGATTGGATATAAAAGATCAGTAGTTTATATTGAGAATTTTTTGATGAAACCAAAGGAAAATCTACTGTTAGGAAGTGTCAAAGCTGTCATAAAAATTTTGTAGAGATTTGGACAGAAAAAACACAGTAGCAAGATCAAACAAACTGTGCTATGCGGTTGGAATTATGCAATGTATCTTTCGTCGTAGAGATGAAAACTTTGTGATAAAAAGTTTATGCAGCAATATATGAATAATTTTTTTTTAGATTTTTGAATAAGGATAACTAAATTGCAGCAGCAGTAAGGTAAGAAACTAGAACTTATTATAATTCGTGGGGAGATCAAAGGATGATCCGCGGTGGTAGAGATGACGGGGGAATTTGGCGATGATCTTTCAAGCAATTGTGGAAATTACTTTGGACGGCCGTGGAGGGCTGATGGATAGCTATGGAAAGGCAACGAGACACCAAGAATGCTGCTCTGATATCAGGTGTTAGAACTCTTTTAGATTTTAAGCTTGGGGTTGATCTCTTTAGGGGATCGGTCTCCTTGGAACTCTATAGGGGTTCCTTCCTCTAAATTGCTGCTCAAAGGCTGCATAAAATATTCATCTATTACTTATCAAAAGAGGAGAAATACATGGCTATTTATAGGGCTTCTAAACTCTAACTCCTAATAGGACTCCTACTCAAGACTCCTATTCCTTTACAACTCCTAATGCTTCTCTAAGAACAACTCCTAATATGACTCATACTCAAGTCTCCTATTCCTTTACAACTCCTAATTCTTCTCTAAGAACAACTCCTAATATGACTCATACTCAAGTCTCATATTCCTTTACAACTCCTAATTCTTCACCAAGAAACAACCTCCTAACCCTAGCCGACCTCTTCACCTCTTTAATAGGGATCGGCTTAGGTAGGTTTTACATGAATACCCTTCTCAATTAGGACTCTCCTAGCTGGAGTCCTAACACACTACTGCCTCTCAACCCCGGCAGCAACCTTCCCTTCTCACAGCAACAGAAACGGAGCATTGTTTCCCGTTTCCAACCATTCCACCACCGTTTCCTTTGCTTTCGGCTAGCGACCACCATCGCCACTACACTCCGGCCAGTGACCACCGCTGCCGCAGCCACCCTCCAGTCGTACACACTGCAACCGCAGCAAGTTCTTATGTGGCCCTGCCTCAAACCCGGCAACACACACACCGACTCCTCTTTTCAACCTTAACCGCTTCAACACTGCCCTCCCTCACCGCTGTTTCCCGACCAGCAGACCAAACCCCTCATTGCTTCTACCGTTGATGACACTGCCCCCAGCCACGCCACCATCGCTGCCTCCCCTTGGGTCATAGCTGCAATTGCTCGACCATCCCTCCTCACGGCGATCAAAACAAGGCAACCACGATCGTCGTAGCCACCGTCATTTTCTCAACCGCATGCGATCCCTCGATGTCTCTAGCGCCTCCTTCTGCAGTGCAATAGAGATAAAGCAATGCTGCCTTCCATCTGCACCATTGTAGCCACCGGTGCTCTCACCCCACACAGCTGCAACCACACCGACGCAGTCGCCTTCCAGCCCTCGACGCTCATACCCTACACAACGACAGAAATAGGGCAGCAACTCTTCCTCCAACACCGTGACCGCAGCACTGCCCTCGATGTCCGCTTCCTCGACAGCTTCGCATCGACAATTTTGATGCCCTTGACTAGACATCAGAAACAAGAACTGGGGATTACAGATTTGCAGTCTTACGTAATGGCCACCGATAACTCAGTGAAAACATAAATGAAAGCATTGAAAATCAGAATTAAGAATCGGTTGCAAGAAACACTTAATGATTTCAAAAAGAGCCTACTGGAGAGCCTCAGTAAATTCCAATAAGATGGGGGCTCAAGTTCTATGTTGCACAGATTTAAAAATACAAGAAAAGGGCCCCAAGATTATGACACAAACTACTCACAAATGAAGGTGGAATTTTCGAGATGGGAAGATGGAGATCCGACCAGTTAGATCTCTAGGGCAGAAAATTTTTTTCATTTTCACAAAACCCCAGAAGAATCCAAGGTAGAAGTGGCCTCAATCCAGCTCAATAGAGATGCAATCCGATGGTACGATTAGTATGAAACTTGCCACGGAGTTCCTTCGTGGGAGCAGTTCAAAAGAGGGCTTCTTGTTCACTTTGGCCCATCTGAATATGAAAATGTTGATTGCTAGCTCACTAAAATTCGTTAGACTTCTACAGTGTTGGAATATCAGAGTAGGTTTGAAAGATTGTCAAATCAAGCTAGAGATTGGTCAAAGCGATAACTTCTGGGTACATTTATTGAAGGGCTTATTTCAGAGATCCGGAGTGAAGTTAAGGCTCATCAACCTCGCACTATGATAGCTGTGATCTCATTTGTACACCTACATGAGAAAAAAATTAGCAAGGAAAGATCAGCAAGGGGTTTGTACTATGATGAAAAGTGAAGTATGGAGCACCGATGTAAACAAGGGCAACTTCTAATGATTGAACCAATTGGAGAAGAACTGAAAGCTACTAATATGGACTCCGAACATAAAGGTATAAATTCTAATAAAGATGTTGGACCTACCATACATACAATACATGTATTAGCCGACTTCTCTAACCCGTAAACATCAGCCTGTCATAGTTTTGATTGATACTGGTAGCATTAATAATTTTATGGAAAGGAAAGTTGTAGCTCGATTAGCTTACCACATTGAAGGCTGTGACAAATTCAAAGTAAAAATCATTGATGGACATATTTTAACTTGTGATAGCAAAAATTCAAAGATAAAATTAATTATATAGGGCCAAAAGTTTCTTGCAACGATTACTACAATGAAAGACCGACTTGTTGCTTACACTATCAAAAAGTAGAGACCATACTTACTTGATCAACGGATTGTGATACGTTGCAAATAGTCTATGACTGAAATGCTAAAAGAGAAGCTTCCCGAGTTTGATGCTGCTCAGCCTTGAGGATAAAGCTGATTTGAAGAGGGAGGAATTATTAAGACCCTTTTTTCTGAGCTTTTGAATAATGTTTATTGAGTTAGTTTAGTTCAGTTGTTTATTGAGTCTGTTTAGTTTAGTTAAAGTTAGGTAGAAGTTTATTTAATATTTAATTATTATTAAGAGTCCAAGTCCCGGTAGACTCTAGGTGGAACTCTATAAATAGTGATGTAACCCTTTCTTTAAATCAAACAATCAATCAATGAAATATTATTTCAATCTGATGATAAACCTTAGGAGGCCGATCTCCTCAAAGTGATCAAGGAGGCCGATCCCCTCGAGGCCAATCCCCTCGAAGTGATCAAGGAGGCCGATCCCCTCAAAATGATCGTCCTCTTTTCTTTTATTTTTTTTACGATAAAACCTTAGAGTTCTATCAAGGTTCTTTCTCGGGAGGTGGTAGAGTTCGGTAAAGAGCGGTCGTTGGCCAATGAGAGTTCGGCAAGAGGCTCTGAGCCTGACAATGGATTTGACAATAGCTCCGGAGTTGAATTCATTGGAAGAGTGGCTTGGAGGAAGGAGCAACGGTGGAATGATAAACCTTGCTCTCAGACAAGAGGCTTTGATAAGTTGAATTATAATGATAAAAGTACACACTAAATAAGTGAATACAATATCTTATTTATATATAAGGGAAGAGAAGATTTTCCTCAACTGTCCAGCGAAATTTTATAATGCAGTTGAGGAAATATTAACTGTCTATCACCAGAGAGCGTTGCAGCTGGTGGAGGTTCGAGGAACTATCCCTGGAGCTCCAACGGCAACGAGAAGATGGCAGCGAGGACCCGGTGACAGGTTGCGAGTCGAGGAGGAGCGAAGGAGCTAGGTGATGCAGTGGTTTCCTGTTCGTCGTTTTGCTCCGATTCAAGCTTGGCGCCTTCTCCTCTGCCCTTGTCGGGGAAGCAAGAGCCGCCGTGGCTCCCCATCCAGCCGGAGCCGCCGCTGGTCTGGCTCGACCAGATCGTGCCGGCGAGCGTGGAGCTGCCGCTCTCGCTGCGTATCATAAAGCGGAAGAAGCGGTGGGAGGACGGGTGGCTCCCGGATGCGCGCGAGTTGGCCTGCTGCTCCGTGAAGCGGGCCTTCTCGTCCATGGTTTTCATGATCCGCGAGCTCCAGAGCTAAACACTCCAGATGCGGGAGGTGCTCTTCAGAGAGGACCTCCAGGGGATTCTATCACCGGTAACGTGGGAGATGAACTCCTCCTCCGTCTGGCTCTTCCAGCAGGTTTTCTCCTGCACCCCGACGCTCATGCTCCTGCTGGCCAACTTCACCGTCTTCTCCATGGGTCACCTCGACGCCGCCGCCCTGGCCGCACCAAACCCACCGACCCAGTCGATGGTCGATACGGTATTCGTGGTGGAAGACCGTCACCAGAACCATCACGATCTCTCCTCCATCAAGAAGTTGTCCTCGATCAACACCGTCCACGCCGCCAGCTAGGCCCATTTCTTGTGGAGCACCGGCGTGGAGGACACCTGCTATCGACGAGATCTATGGCCCGCCCGAGTAACCGGTCTACCAGCCATGTCACACGGACCACGTGAACTTGATCCGAGCAAAAGAGGTGAACCGGCCCGGTCCGGTTTGAATTTTGTTTTGTGTTTTGGCTCGAAGCAAAACGAGTGAGCCATTTCGTAATTGGAATACGTCGCCTCCCACCTTAAAGCCACCAAAACCTCAAAACAGACACGAGGATATAGGTGCCGGTGATGATAACATTTGGAGAATCTTTAGAATCGGAATTAGATTTGGCAATCATTAATCATCCAATTTAATGACCATTAATAACAAGGATTAATCTACGTACTTGCTGGAGAACTTCGAGGAGGAGGGGCATTCTGGAAATACACGTAATGTGAGTCGACAGATATGAGAGAGGAGCTGAAGCGTTACGAGCCATGGCGCCTCCACAGCCGTCCGATGCGTGCTGGATCGACGGCCGTGTTCGGCTCATTACTGCTGCTAATGGTTACTTATGGTGGCAATGGCCCAAAGGCAATGAATCCTCGTTTCTTGCGTAACTGTAGCCTTCCCCATTGTCTTCCTCCCTCCTCCCCCGTTCCCACCCCGATGTCTTCCACAAACCCTTTCTTCCTCTCCCTCTTCCTCGACATGGAAGCAGCAGCTGGTGGTCGAGATGGCTTTGGAGGGAAGTCTTGGCCGCCGCCTCCTTTGATGCCTTTGGGAAACGTTCTTTCTGGTTCTTATAGAGAGGAGCCATGGGCACACCATCATGCGGACGGTGCAATAGGTACTCTTCCTGACGGTATTCTACTGAATGATTCCAGCTTTTATGCCGATCTTGGCAGTGGTAGCTGCGAGAATAAGGTGGTGAAAAGAGAGGTATGTAGAGAACGACATCAGGCGCGAAGCAGCTCATCGTCTTCCAATGGTGACGCTGCGGCGGCAAACGTCGTTAAAGGGCAGTGGACAGCTGAGGAGGATAGGTAATGAGATTTATATTGATCCATTGGTTTAGAGCAGTATATGAGATCATCGAACGGACTTCCAGGCTCTGTTTGTTTGTGTCGCAGTTTGCTGGTTGGATTGGTGAAGCAACATGGCGTCAGGAAATGGTCTTATATCGCTAAGAACTTGGTTGGTAGGATTGGCAAGCAGTGTAGAGAAAGATGGCACAATCATCTGCGCCCTGACATCAAGGTTCTCTCTCTCTCTCTCTCTCTCTCTCTCTCTCTCTCTCTCTCTCTCGGAGCCTCTGCGGGTGTCTCATGCTTATTCTTTTCGCTGCCACTACAAAGTTTTGGGAACATCTCGTCTCTCTGAGGTCATAAATGCATGATAACATCTCGTCTGTCTTCTTCATCATGTTAGGTGTTTGCCGATGTTGTGTCTGCAGAAGGATATGTGGACGGAGGAAGAGGAGCGGCGACTTGTAGAAGCTCACATGAAGTATGGAAACAGATGGGCTGAGATCGCAAAGCACATGCCAGGCAGATCCGAGAACTCCATTAAGAACCACTGGAACGCCACCAAAAGGAGGCTAAACGCCAAGAGGAGCAAACGGAAGGCACCAAAGGGTGGAAGATGTCCTCCCTCCATTCTGCAAGACTACATCCGGAGTAAGACCTTCGACTTGAGCAAAACATGCAGCACCAAGACATCACCATCGACCATGTCAAACCAGTTAGATCATGTCGCTTATCCGGGGACGCAGAACCCCTCATCGGCTCACAACTCCACAAGCAGTGCGGCGGAGGATATCTTCCCGTACATGCAGAAAATTCCGGATCAGGGAGAGGAAGAAACCCATGATCCTTGCATGCATGACTCGCTCCATGTTCTGATCTTTAACGACGAAGACGACTTCGACTTCCTTCCCATTCGCGATGCTCCAGCTCAAGTATTCGGCAGCAGCGGCAACCTCAGCGACTCCAATGGCAGCAGTCATCTACATCCGCCCTATCTCCTAAACGGAGCTCCAGCTTCGTCAACTGGCGTGCTGGTCGGCATGGATGATCTGAAAGCTCAGGCTTCTTGGAGTAGCAAGAGGGATTTGGATCTGGTGGAGATGTTGTCCCTACAGTTCTCTTCCTCCCGTAGCAGCAGCAGCAGCAACAGCACACCTCTGAACACCAATCCGAGCTCTGCTTTTGAATGCCGAGTCGGTCAAGTCTTCTCCACTCATCCTTGAGATGCCACACAACAGGTGGAGTTACGTGCATGCAGGGAGCGTGCGCCAGCAGTACAGACGTGACATAACCTTCCAAAACAAGACAGTACGAGTCGGTCGATTCGTCATGTAAATTCCGCACAGGACAAAGACTGTTAGAGAGCATTTCTTTGGTGTTTTATGCACGCCGTTGTCTCGACTCACAGCACTTTAATTATGATTAGTGTGACCTTATCATTTCTGTGCTCTCTAATTTTTATTTCTTAAAAATTAATATTAGTTTTACTATTTAATTTTTATTTCCATTATATATATACATATTATTCAATAAAATCTACCTACGATGGTATAATTCTCAATCCTCGTTCCTATGATTCATCTTCGATCCCACCGTCGACCAAAAACACCATATCTTTCACAGCTCAATTTTAATATCATAATAAATTTTATCATATTTAGCCTAATCGGATCAAAATTCTTTATCGAATTAAATCGATTCATTTGAAATATATTTTTTTATTATTTAAAATTATACATCAATTAATCAAATCGAATTAAATAGATTCAGTTAGATAAGGCCAAACGATCACAATTGGAACCTATTTTACTCTAATCAAATCTAATAAAAAATTAATTTTGCTTAATTCAATTCGTAACGATTCGATTCTAACTGATTTGAACATCCTAATACATACAACATATAATATATGATAACAATAATTATAGGATGTTGAAGATATTATGATATGACAGAACCTAACGGATCCAAAACTACATTTTGATTAGCATATGAAGCAAGCTAATATTCTGATCTCCTGAGCTCCTCTATGCATTCGATGTTGAACGGTGACACAAAATGCATACCACACTTCATAGATATGCTGGAGACAATAGGCTAATCCTCGTGACAGCTCACATGGCACATTAGTATCAATATTAGCTCTTCCCATCATTCCCTGTCATCTTCCATGTCGAGGGATGAGGCGAGCAATAACATTAAGGTGAATCTAAAAAAAAACAAAAAACAAAAGAAATTATTTGAATCCCATTTCTTACTATTTTATTATCTTAGATTTATCCCATAACAAATCATTAATTGTGTTCTACATCAAGGAATGGGAAGATTTATCCTATATCAGTAACAAATCATTACTGTTAGAGCTAGCCCCAGGATATTTACCACAAGATAATTTTGGCAACACAACAAAGACAATAAAGCGGAAAGAATAAAAGCGAGACAAGAACACCAGAACACCAGATATATGTGGTTCGGTCAATTGACCTACATCCACAAACGAAAGAGGAGCAAATTACTATTGCAAAAGAGGGACACTTACAAATGACCTACATCCACAAACGAAAGAGGAGCAAATTACTATTGCAAAAGAGGGACACTTACAAATGCCTTAGGAAGATGTTCCTAGGCCATAAAACACCTTCAGCTTCCTAAACAAGAAGACTTCAAACCATAAGCAGGTTTTCTTGTGATGCCTACTGTACTTCTTGTGGTGTGTCTAACATCAAAGCTCAGGCCCTTATTTATAGTTCCAAGACGAGACAACAAGTCTGATTTTCCCGATGTGGGACTATGGGACTTGCCAAACTAACAAATCTCCACCTTGGCATGTCCCAACAAAACTTGCTCCACCTTCTTCATAAAAGCCCCAACGGGCAATCACCAACAATGAACACCAACCAAGTCCAAGCACTGCTTGAACTTGTAAACCGGAAGAGGCTTCGTAAGCATATCAACTGGATTGTCCTTCGTATAAATTTTCTGAATAAGGACCTTTCCCTCAGCAATCAACCACTTAGCGGAATTATCAAAAGAAACTGCATCTGAATAGGTAGTAGGCTCACCAACTTCACTTGTCTCTTTTGCAACAGACAAAGCATATGCAACCAAATTTGCATATCTTTGTGGTGGTCGAATATCTCTCCGTGGTCTATCCTTGGCTATGGAATATTGCTTCCTCTAGATTATCTGCGTCAGTAGACTCAGGACCACCTACTGGCATTCTTTGAGTAGAAGAGTTCGACTTAAAGGAATCTGAACTCCCAATCTCAAGCTCCACCTGCTTCTGCGCACTATCATTTATACAACTAGTAGAATCCTCTTTGGAAGATAACATAGATAATTCATCAAAAGTAACATCTCTACTGATTATAAATTTTGGGGATTTGAGATCAGAACACCATAATCTGTATCCTTTCACCCCAGAAGCATACCCAAGGAAAATACACGTTTTAGCCCGAGGCTCTAATTTTCCTTCATTTACATGCATGTATGCTGGACACCCAAAAATTTTAAAATCAGAATAATCAGCAGGAGTACCTGACCAAACTTCCTCCGGAGTTTTAAAGTCAAGTGCTGCAGAAGGAGCGCGGTTGACAACGTAACAGGCCATATTAATCGCCTCTGCCCAAAAGTCTTTTGTCAACCCTGCATTTGAGATCATACACCTCGCTCTCTCCAAGAGTGTTCTGTTCATACGTTCGGCCACACCATTTTGTTGAGGCGTCATCCTAACAGTGCGATGCCAAGCAATTCCTTCATTTTTGCAAAATTCTTCAAAGTCACCTTCACAAAATTCCATACCATTATCTGTTCGAAGCCGCTTAATCTGTTTACCTGTTTGTTTCTCAATCAAAGCCTTCCATTGTTTAAATGTTAGAAAAACATCATATTTATGCTTCAGAAAATAAACCCAAACTTTCCTGGAATAATCGTCAATAAAAGTCAACATATACCTGGCACCACCCTTAGATTGAACTTGAGCTGGACCCCAAAGGTCTGAATGAATATAGTCAAGAGTACCTTTCGTTTTGTGAACTGCCGGAGAACTGAAGCTGACTCTTTTCTGCTTTCCAAAAATGCAGTGTTCACAAAAGTCCAATGGCCCAGTACTCTGTCCGCAAAGTAGACCCCTTTTGCTCAATATGCTCAAACCTTTTTCGCTCATATGACCCGAACGCATATGCCATAA